GTCTTCAGTGTCACAGTCTTTAAGCTGGTTCTTATGTGAGATTTCTGACACACATATACAAACACATATAGTAAATATCTTAGGTCTCTTCAAGCCCTAAAATACAATGTTATTTAAAAGAAAAAAATAGAAAAATTGGATTTATTAGTATTGTTCAGTAAATTAAACCCTATGCCTTGAAATAGAAGATTTTATATTGATTAAATTATTTGAATAGGAGATAGAAGAAGATGTGAGTCAGGTCTCTTTATTTCTTGAAATGCTGTATTAACTGACAGGAAGCAAGTAACCTCGCTCTATAGCTATTTCCTCTGACCTCCCTTATCCTGGGAGGAAGACATACTGTTCCTTTTTACAAAACAACTATTTTAAAACAGTAGAATGTATTTTGTTTTTATAGGGATCTGTACAGTTGGAATAGTGCTCTTGGCTGATTAAAGAGGCGATATCCTTTTCTAACATTCTAGGAAAAAAATCAATGTGTGTGTGTATATGTGTATTTATAAATATATGATAATGAAACAGCTAAGTGTTGATTTAAATTATAAGTATGGTTGTCAACCCTGAAGCTGATCTGGGTAAAGCCATCCTGGAGCTTCAGTATGCCACACTGGAGCGAGGGATAGGGAGAGGGGATTAGAGATAGCTGGGCTTGTGTAGTCAAAATGCTGTCTCAAGACTTTCTTCTGGGAACCAAGGACAGTCTCACACCTAGCTGAGAGAAGGAGGAGTGATGTCACCAAATCAGCAGATGCTGCAGTGATTGGGCCATGTGACTGATTGCTTGGGATTGAGGGGAAAACTTTTATTTAGATGAAAACCAAGGGGCCTTCAGAGTTCGTTTTCACCAGATATGTGCCAATATGATATTTCTAATAAAGCTATTCTTTGAGGAGTTTACCTACCTTGGAGTTTTGCTTATAATAGATTTATTTCTTGGAACCCAGACACTGGCCTTTGTGTGAAGCTGGGAAATATTATGCAGAGGAATTGAATGTTGTAGAAGTTTAGAGAAATATCTTATATTTTAGACATCAGGGAAAAATAATACCTAATGTTTTATTAGCAAATGCTGTTCATTGATACATACAGCAATTCTATTCATATATGGATAGCACTGCTTCTTTATTTATATTCTTGTTAACATCATTAATCAAATGAATGACCCTTTTTGTGCTTTTGTTTAAGATATTCTGGTGTTTACCACATTGTGATTTCTACTAATATAACTGGAAAAAGCTATATCCTTAAAAAGAAAAAGAAAATAATTGTTTTGATCCATATATACTGAGAAGCCATAATCTGACCATTTGTTTTGGGATGATGTCTAAATAATCTGAATAGTTACTTTTCTAAGATTATTTGTACTTTTAAAAAATGAAAAGTTACTACAAAGTTATAAGTACTGCGATTTAATCCCCAATGGGACTGTCTTTTTTCCATGTCCTGTATCCTTTCCACAAGGAAATGGATTTAAGTTTTCTATATTAATGAAAAAAAGTTTGGTTTTTCTTTTTTCAGAAAAAAGGTTAGGAAAGAGATATTTTCTTTTCTCTCCCTCCCCTTGGCTTTCAAATTTTCAGATGGAAATATATCATAAGCTACCTGTATAATACCATAGCGACAGCTGCAAATCGCTTTTCTTCCTTCTCCAGTTGTCATGAAGTATCAGGAAGAAATATCAATGGAGACTGAAAATAACGATGGATTAGGCGAGGAGAGAAACCCAGCTTTATGCAATTGTTAAAGTCAATTTGTCAGTTTTTTAAGCAGGGGGCCAATTCACAGTCCCTCAGACTGTTGGTGGGGGTGGACTGGTTGGTGAGGTATGGCTATGTGGTCATGTGACTGGGGGCGTGGCCAATTTAGCAGTGTTGCCATTTGCCTAACTTATAACAACAGCAGCTTCAGGCTCCTTTAAAACTCAGGAAACTCAAGTTTTGCAGCAATTCTTCTCAGCCCCAAGAAGCTTTCGATCAACAAGTCTCTCTCTGTTTCTGTCTCTCTCCAAAACCAAGTTATCTCACATGCTCTCCTCCCTCCCCATTTAGGCAGGGCAGTTTCTGCAAACCCCCAGGAAGGGCTCTGATTCCATTGTCCCCCATGTGCTCCCCTCTCTCCCTGCACGCATCAATCCTTCAGCTGACAGTATCACCCCTCTGCCAGCTCTCCTTTCCCTGCCCACTCACCAACTCACACCCTTACCTTTGCAAGCAGTGGTGAGCAGAAGTACACAGAAGTGCGGCTGCACTCTTCAAGGTGCAGTATAAGGCCTACGACTGTAGGAGGGGCAATGGGAAAAAATCAGTCACACAGGGAATGAGTGGGAGGCAATGGGCGGGGCTTAATCCCATCACTGTGTGGGCTGGATACATTGTGTCTGTGGACCGTAACCAGCCCGCGGGCCGTAGTTTTGAGGATCCTTGGTTAAAGGCATTGGACAGGAGACACTGAGTTCTAGTCTTCCCTTAGGTATGAAAAACATCTACATGACTTTGGACCAGTCACTCACTATGAAGGATTAAGGAAGAAGGCAATGTTAAAACACTTCTAAATACGTTGTCAACAAATAAAGTGAATTGGACTAGGCAATCAACAGGAGACAACATTGTCTCAAAGGTTTCCCCTCCCCCCCCCCCCCCGGCCCCCACCCCCCCCCCGACATAAGATGGTATGAGGAGGGATTTGAAGAAAATTATAAATATGGAAGTTGGGAGTAATATTCTAGAAATGCTATGAAGTAGAATTATTGAATTGCTTTTGTGAACTGTGAACTTATTGCAGTTATAATTTAGAAGCCTGGAATAATGCCAACTTTCTGCTGCTTATATTTCTACCAGTACTAACAAGAAAATGGAAAGGAGTAATTGAGATTTGTTCTCTGTACTAGATTTCTTTTTGTCTCTTGCTAAAATAATTTTGTCTAGGTCTCTTATGAAGTATGCCATTCTTTTCAGATGCATAGGCCCGTGATCTGTTTTAGTCCAATTGCTAATGTTAGTGCTTAGCAATTTGAGAAGCCAAGACAAAAAGGTAAAAATTATGAAAAAAATGGAAAGTTCATTAGGTTGCTAGACAATCACTGGCAGTTTTCTGGCTGCAAAATATCAGCTTGTTTTGTGTGAGTTCAGTATTCAATGGCCTAAAACTCAATTAGGCCAAATTTGGATTTAAATTGTGACTTCTGGAATCAGGGTCCTACTATGTGGATAATTTGAATATTAGCTGTATATATGAGTGTGTTTGTACCCATTTTTTTGGAAAATAAAAGTTAATGTCTTTAACAGGTGCCCTATTTTTATTCCTTGCAATTCTTTATAGATAGGTTACTTGCAAGAAATTAAAAGTTTGAAGTATCAATACGTTTATGGTGCAGACAAAAATATTTCTTCTCTATAGTTAGCCAGTGATAAAACTGGAATAAATATATCTGTACAATGCAAAGATTTGAGAGTGTCCTAGTGACACTTGCTTGGAACCAATTCAGACTAGAATAGTCTATAAATCCTGTAAAAAATGTAAATTCATATCGAAGCCAGCTATTTCCTTAGAACAAAGAATTTAAACAGTTGAGGTTGTTATTCAGTGAATAGAGAGTAATTCTCAACAAAATACAGAGCTTTTCATAGTCCAAAAAAGCAAAAGGTAGCCCATAAAAGGAGGGAGTTAAAGTTCTATTGCTTTACTGTTTTGTACTAGGATAGAGTTTATTCATTCGTAAAACCTGATGATCTTATACTGAAAAAGCTTACAGGCATTTTTCACATTTAGCTACAAAGTTCTTGTGCTCATTGTTTAGGGGTAAATTGAATCAAATATACTTATTTTAATTTGTTGTAAAACATACATTTTAAGACAATGAGTTAGCAAGAAAATTGGAAATAGTAATGGAAAGATAAGGGAAAGATAGGAATAGGTGAGGCAGTAGGAAGATACTGGGGGGGAAAGTAGAAACTATATTGCCTATATTTAGATAACCGGGGAAAAAAGTTCAAATTTGCACAAGGATAATACAAACTGTTGTACAAAATAATGTGCACATATATAGTTATTTGTTTTGTTGGTAAAACTGCTTTCCTGCCATTGAAATGTTGTTCATTTTCTGTTTAATTTATTAGGGCTTATTGTCAAGCTTGACCTTGTAGCATTGAGTTAGAAGTTTGGTTTTCCCTTTTTTAAAAAAAGAAAGTGATTCTAAACAATTTTATAGTGCTTGTGGGTATATCCTTCTGACCTACTTAATTGCCTGCAGTGCCTTAAAAGAATATTTTTTTAATTTCTTTGTAAACTCATCATAGTTTTAATTGCCCATTGGTAATAACTTTAATAATCTAATATTGGTTAATAAGGAACTAATTTTCTCTAAATCACTGTTGTTATGAGCCATCTCTTTTCATGCAGCATGCATACACCATTTTGGCACTGTCATAAGTCATAGAACAAAGATATGCATATAATAAATCAAGCTATAACATGCTCTCGTGCAGAATCCTTCCAGTTGGTTCATTTATTATCAGATTGATATCTTATGTACCCATGAAAATGGAATCTTATACAAAAGAACATAAGGCTGATGCTGAACAATAGTACAAAATTTAGCACACTACATATGTGATTTCAGTGATAAGGATTGAGATTTTATAGCTGAATCTTTCATAGAAAATATATTACTAGAACAATATGAGTATTGCATTTAAGTGTATAGAATTAATTTTTAATATATTAAAGTTGAGATTTTTCAAATTTAAATTTTGACTAATAATTATAATTAATTACATAATCTTTCAGGAACCAAAAATAACATCAATAAATTGTAAATACTCTTACTGTGATGGATAGAAGTATCTTGAATTGCTAATGAGTGCTTATAATTTATCAGAAGACAAAAAGTGAAGGAAACCTAGAAAGAGAAGTAGTTGTACTGCTTCCCTAAATATTTATTGGCCAATTCAGATTAAGATTAGACACTGTTAATTCTGCTTTATTTATTTCTTTTGCAGACATTATCCAAAGCAGTCCTTCACTATGGTGGCTGACACTCCAGAGAACCTGCGCCTTAAGCAGCAGAGTGAACTTCAAAGTCAAGTAAGGCTTTCAACTGTTTATTCTCATTCTGCAGGTTGCTGTATGTTAGCAATTGCATTCTACCAACCATACTCAAAAAAGAATTTAGTGAAGAAGTTAATATCTTAAAAACAGAGCATGGCTTGATGCTTAAAAATCAAAGCTGTTTACTTTTCCCATATTACTGGAAGGAAAAAAGTACAGAAATGAATTAAAATATAAACTGTCAGTTCTACAAGAGATAACACTTATGATGCAACACATGAAAGATAGTATCTTAACACTAGCTCAGGAATCCAGAGCATGAAAGTACAATTGTGAAAGTTCTTATATACCTACTAAGAAAGATGAATCAAGGCAGGGGTGGGATTCTACCCGTTCTGTCCACTTCTGTAGAAGTGGTTGCTATGAAAAGCAGCAAACAGAGAACATACATAGAACTGGTTCTATGTTAGAAGAAGAAGAGGAAGAGGAGGAGGAGGAGGAGGAGGAAGAATAGGAAGAAGAGGAGGAGGAGGAAGAAGAAGAAGAACAGGAAGAAGAAGAAGAACAGGAAGAAGAAGGAGGAGAAGACAACTTTATTATCATTGTACAAGTACAACGAAACTGTGGATGCACCCCAGCAACTGTTCGTAATACTGTTTGCTGCAGTTTTGGCCCAACTGCCTGCCCGGGCTCTTAGCTGACTTTTATTTCCTGTGTTTTCAACCACAGCTGCTTTGCGCGACACAGCTGTGGTTGAAAAAGCAGGGAAAAAGTGCTTTTTCAACCGCTGCGCACCCGCGTACAGCGCTGCTCAGCTGTCCAGGCAGCTAGATAACGACGATATACACACGTGTGCAGCGTGTAAAATCACCGAACCGGTAATTATACCGGTTGGATCCCACCCCTGAATCAAGGTATGAATATGGCAGATAGTTAAGTTATGAAGAAGTAGGGTGATATGTGCAGAGATGAAATAGCATAGAGTAATAGGATTGAGAAGATTCATCCTGAAAGGAATTCCATCATTTAGTGTTGAGAGAGCAAATTAGATAAAAGACTGTAAAACTTTTTGCATGCTAGGAAAGCAAAGTATGCATTAGAATGCAGAAATAAGTTCCTTATAGTATTAATAAAATCAGATTTTATTCCTAAACCTTCATACAAAATTTATCTCGGTGTTGTTAAATACTAGGCATTAAGCAAGCCAAACCATCTGTATTATATATTCTTTTGCAATAAAGATAAGAATGCATGCTGAAATCTGCATAATAAAGTAGCCCTTAACTTACGACCACCATTGGGAATAGAATGGATATTTTGCCAGAATTGGGTGTAGTTATAAAGTGTGACCAGACCTGATTTTGCAAATGTTTTCACTATGTTCTTAAGGGAATCACATGATCATTAAGTGACTCCAGCTTCCCCCAATTGACTGTTTTTGCTGGAAATCAGTTGGAAAGTCATATATTGTCATAGTATGACTGCAGGATTTTGCAACTGGTTGGAAATGCAGCCACTTGCCAGGTGCTTGAGCTGTATTTATGTGACATTGGGATAAGTGTGAGGATAGATTTCTTTTCTCTACAACATTGTAACTTTGAATGGTCATAAGCTGAAGGCTACCTATATCACTCTTATCAAATTTACTGCATGTATTAGGGAAATGTTTGTCTTTCATTGTTATATGCAAATAGCTGTCTCATATAGAACTAACTGCCAATATACTTAGTCCCCACCCCCAAACCTCCCACTTAAAGGTCATATCTAAGCTGGTGTGTTCTATAAGCTAGGTAGAATTTTCTCACAAACCCTCATTTCCTCCTTTATAGTGTGCTAACAATAAGAGAATTCTGCTCAGTGAGGAGGAAGCAGAAGTTATAAAGCAAGTAGATTCTATAGAGATTTCTTTTTTTCAGTGTGTTGATCCCTGCAGCAATGGAAGAATATTCTACAAGATCTAACAACATGCTACTACAACTCTAAAGTTCTTTTTATATAGATCATAGTTACTTCACTTCTTGTCTTTTTTGATCAAGCCTCAATACTGTTGCCATTAATAACTTTCCCTGATTTAAAAGAACATTTACAAGTGGCTGGCCATAGAACTTGTAATCATAGGCTTGTTAATATGCATTATTCTATATGCACTTCTTGCTCTGTTTTTATAGTGTCCTTTTCATATAAAACTTACTTATTTTTCCCTTGTTCCCCTATCCCCTTTGTTCTAAATGTAAACCCAGATTATAAGATGAAACTTGGTGAATGATTAGACAAAGTCATTAATGCTTAAGCTCCTGATTATGCTTTGAAGTTCTGATGCTTTTTACCAGCACAAATTCATTGATGGGGATAATTGCAAGTCAGAAAACAACTATTTATTAAAAAGCTTCCCTGGTGCTCCCTGTTATCCCTAACTTGCTTTTGGTTATTTTTTTTCTCCAAGGTATGTGGATAACCTTCTGAATTAAGCAGTAAAAAGTCATATTCTTTTATATGTGGGCTATGAAGGCAGATCAGAACAATGAGTAAAGTCCACTTTCTATTGCTTATCCCTGTGCTGGCTAAATAAATATAGTTTTATCATAGTTCACTTATGTTTTCTCCTTTCTGTGGCTATAAAAGTCCAGTGAGTGGGGATGACTCCTGTCCTTGCTGATTGGATTGCCTAATTGATTAAGGTCCACCCTCCACCGTTGGCCACACCCCAGTTTTCAACTCAGTCCCAGACAGGACGGACGTGGTCCTTTGGAGCTCCACTTTCAATTTTTCTGAAGTGGAGTTATTTCTGTGTTTTCTGCTTCAAACTGACAATAAGATCAAGGTTAGTGCCACAGGCCATAGTTCCTTGGGAACGGCCTAGTGGCTTGGCAAAAGGGTTACCAGCACGCTAGCCAAGTGTAGTGGAGCACTAGGGGCTGTGGTAGCAGTCCGGGTGATCGGCAGGCAAGATCGGCCCGCAAAAGAGCTGTTGGGTGCGAGATCGCCCATAGGTGCCAGTGCTTAGGCAGGGAATTGCGTGGCGTGCCCAGGATCCTCCTGCAGTCATGTAAAGCTTACTGAGCAGGATTGGAGGCTGCTTCAGGGGTTGAAGTAGTAACGAGCCCACCCATGGCCTGAAGGTAGAGAACCAGCAGGGCGTGGCTGCAGCCCAGCATTTAGGCCTAAAGAGGCCTGCTTCAGCCGGTGAAGAGGTCAAGATGGTGGATGCACAGACTCCAGGCAAGCCTCAGAAGGAAGGAGGCTGCAGTCCCTCCTCTTCCAAGGGAAACTCCCCTGGAGGCAGACAAGGAAGGCCCATGCTTCCAAAAAGCCTTCCAAGGCAGAAGAACAGGACGCCATAAGGAGGCAGAGAGCTCTGGAGAAGCAAGTGGAAAAGAGCCAACGGACTGCTGGTAGGAGGAGTCTCAGATCTCCTCCCCCGGATGATTCGGCTTCTGCTCTCCAGGCCCCTGAATTGCAAGCAGAGCCTGAGCCTGGGCTTGGGCCTGCCCTGGATGTAGGCCTCGCACATTGGAATCTGCAGATCCACAGTTAATAGCAGTAGGCAGGGATTATGAGAGGGCTCCTCAGATAGCCTTTCAAGGAGAATCATGGGAGCAACCCCCTAAAAGGCCCAGAACAGGTGTAGAGGCCACATTTACACCAGCTGCTGCAGGCCTTCCTGATCCAAAGTTTTCTGAGCCAGAAGTGCCTGCTCATGTGGAAGCCATTATATCTAAGGCTATCAGGAGAGGTATTGTTGAGAGTCTCCAATTGTTAAGAAGGCCTGAATCTGTGGCTTCTTATGGTTCTATCATGTCAGAGCCTGACCCATCCCTTCAACTCAGAGTTAGGCAAGTTTTGCAGGATTAGGTTTCGCCAGATCCGTCAGTGCACAGTCATTCTTCTATGGCAGCAGAGGAGGATAGGAGAGAGTCAGATCTCTCTGAAGATGAAGGATTGATCCCAGATCAATCTGCCTTTACTGGTCTGTTCAAGCCTACTCTGTTTCGTTCTTTATTATTCAAGGCAAAGAACACAGCTCAATTGGGGCCAGAGGCAGATGTTGGGGAGACAGTAGGAGATACCCCAGCTCCTCCGGATCAGTTTTTCTCTGAGCCAACTTTGCGCACAGAGGTGGTTCTGGCTCCAAGGCTAATCCTGAAGTCAACAAACAATTAGAATTCCCTGGGATAGCGCCCATGTTATCTTCTAATGAGTGTCGTTATTTTACCAGATCTCTGCAGGTGCCAGCACTAGATAGCCCGGTGGTGGCTTTGGTGGCTTTCTCCTCAAATCCAGCGGATCCAGAAGAGGCCTTAAAAGCAGAAGATAAGAGGATTGAACAGTCTCTTCAGGGAACCTATCAGGCAGCTACGTGGGCAGTCAAAGCTTCATCTGCTGCATCCTTTTTTACTAGAGCCTCCTTACGTTGGCTCAGGCAGCTGCTATTCCAGTAAGGGTGCAATGCTACCTGGATGATGTTTTAATTCAATCATCTTCGGAGAGCACGACTTTGAGAGATCTTCAAATGATAGTTTCCCTATTACAGGCCCATGGCCTCTCAATCAATACCAAGAAAAGCCACTTCATTCCCACTATGTGTTTATTGTATTTGGGGGCCAATATTGACATGGTCTCTTGTAAGATTTATCTCTCCCAGGACCAATCATCTTCGGAGAGCACGACTTTGAGAGATCTTCAAATGATAGTTTCATTTGAACAATATGGACAATATGAAAGCACTGGCAGGCAGAATTCAGAAGGCAGATACCGTACCTTTGGCCCTACTATCTCAGCTACTGGGAAAGATGGTGTCTTACATTTCCATCGTGCCTTGGGCACGGCTGCATTCAAGGACACTGCAGTGGTTCCTCTTGCCTTATCAAAAGGCAGAAGGACTCACTCCTCATGTAAGGTCAGGGTCCCCAAATTGGTGAAACAGTCCTTTAGGTGGTGGCAATCCCAAGCGATTTGCACAGGCCACCTATTTAAAGAGCCTCCATGGCTTGTCATCACTACTGATGCCAGTCTCTTCGGATGGGGGGGCTCATCTT